GATTCAGGTGGCTTCCCAAAGTCTACACCATGTGCTGGCTCAGCAGTGCATGCTTCTCTGATCCTACAGTTCCTCCATCCCATGATGCCCTCGGGGATGCTGAAGTAGGAGTGGAGTGGAGGGTTCAGCACTGGCCATCGATGTCTCCGCTAGGAATGAATCATGCCACCTCTCCTTTGTTTCTTCCACCAAAGCAAGTCACGTGGCCACAACTAACTTCAAGAAATGTGAGCCTCCTAAGACAGCCGAGAAAGGGAAACCCTTTCTTCTAGTGGCATAAGGGACAAATGACAGGCTCTAGCATCAAGATGATATAGGTTTATTCTCAGCTCTGCTGTCTCTTTCTAACCTGGTGGCCCTGTGCAACTTACTAAACTTCTCAGTGTTCCCACGTGTAAAACAGGCTTGATACAGGAAGAAAAGCCAACGTGAACTAGCTTATGCGACAAAAAGGAATATTTTTGGAAGGGTACTGTTACCTCATAGACCCCAAAGGCAGATCAGATTTCAGTAGGTCTAGAACAAATCTGACAAGCCAGTACCTAAGCAGTACCCTCTCTCCATTTCTGGTCTTTCTTACACCTGAGGAAGATCACTCAATAGCTCTTTTATTTTTTAATCTATGTATTTACTTTCATTGTGATATAATTGACATATAACACTATATTAGTTTCAGGTGTACAAAATAATGGTTCAATATGTGTATATACTGTGAAATGATCACCACGATAAGTCTAGTTAACATCCATCACCACAAAGAGTTACAAATTTTTTTCTTTTTCTTTGGTTGAGGAAATTTGGGCCTGAGCTAACATCTGTTGCCAACCTTCCTCTCTCTTTTTTTTCCCTCCCCAGAGCCCCAGTACATAGTTGTATCTCCTGGTTGTAGGTCATTCTGGTTCCTCCATGTAGGATGCTGTGACAGCATGGCTTGATGAGCGGTGTGAAGGGCCACACCCAGGATCCAAACTGGCGAATGCCAGGCTGCCGAAGTGGAGTGTGTGAACTTAAACTCGGCCATGGGGCCGGCCCCAGTTTTTTTTTTTCTTGTGATGAGAACTTTTAAGATCTACTCTCTTAGCAATTTTCAAATATACAATACAGTATTATTAATTATTGTCACCATGCTTTACATTACATCTTCATGACTTATTTATTTCATAATGGGAAGTCTGCACCTTTTGGCCCCCTTCATCCATTTCACCCCCCACCACCCATTGCCTCTGGCAATCACCAATCTGTTCTCTGCATCTATGAGTTTGGGTTTTGTGGTTGTTCTTATTTTTAAATTCCACATATAAGTGAGATCATACAGTATTTTTCTTTCTCTGTCTGATTTATTTCTCTTAGCATGATACCCTCAAGTTTCATCCATGTTGCGGCAAATTCTGCCCACTTTTTAATTGGATTGTTTGGGTTTTTTGCTGTTGAGTTGTATGAGTTCTTTACGTATTTTGGATTTAACCCCTTATCATATATATGGTTTGCAAATATTTTCTCCCAATCAGTAGGTGGCCTTTTCATTTTCATGATGGTTTCCTTTGCTGTGCAGAAGGATGTCGTCCCACTTATTTATTCTTATTTACTTTTGCTTTTGTTTCCTTTGCTTTTGGTGTCAAATCCAAAGCTCTTTATAACTCTTCTGTTCAAGAGACTGCCCCTCAGGCCCAAATGCAAACATACAAGAAATAGAACATGATTAGCTCTCATCCCACTAACTGAGACCAGAGAGGAGAGTCACGTAGTAGCAACATGGTTACAGGACCTGTTGCTGGGCAAACGTGGTTCTCAGGAAAAGGGGAATAAAGTGAACTAGGCAGAGAGACTCCACAATTGTTCTAAAGATGAGATGTGAAAACTGAGGAAATCACGTGGCTCTAACCAGGTACTCAAATCATCATATCAATTATAATGGTTAATATTGATGAGAATCCTGGTATTGCAGAGTCGGAATGGTTTGTCCCCTCCAAGGAGTCAGTCTTAGTTCTTCATCTAACAGGCCCTGTTGGCCCAATTTCAAGACGAAGTAAAGCCGAAGAGTTTAGGATGTGGAGGAGTGGCCAAGTCTAGCAGTTAAGCATCAGTGCCCTGTGTCTCAGGCATCAGGTCATGCTAAAGCTCTGCCCTGGTTTATGTGCCACTTTGCTTCAGAATATACCCCATGATGGACTCTCTTTGTCTTTTCCACTTTTCTCAAAAATTAAGAGGTGGGTCCCGCCCATGGCCAAGTGGTTAAGTTCGTGTACTCTCCTTCGGTGGCCCAGGCTTTCACTGGTTCAGATCCTGGGCGTGGACATGGTACCGCTCGTCAGGCCACGCTGAGGCGGCGTCCCACATAGCAGAGCCAAAATGACCAACACCTATATCCTGGGGGGCTTTGGGGAGAAAAAGAAGAAGAAAAAAAGATTGGCAACAGGTGTTAGCTCAGGTGCCAATCCTTAAAAAAAAAAAATCAAATCTTGAGCTAAATATAATAAGAAGAACAAATGGAAACCAGTGCCCACATCTTACCAGCCTGTGGCTGCAAGATAAGGTCATATTTCCTTTACTTTTTTTTTTTTTTTAAAGATTGGCACCTGAGCTAACATCTGTTGCCAATCCTCCTCTTTTTTTTCCTTCTTCTCCCCAAAGCACCCCCAGTACATAGTTGTGTATTCTTAGTTGTAGGTCCTTCTGGTTGTGCTGTGTGGGACACCACCTCAGCATGGCCTGATGAGCGGTGCCATATCTGCGCCCAGGATCCAAAC